CGCCGTATGAAAATTCGAGAGTTGCCGAACTTCCTTCAATAAAATGTGCATTTTCGAGGAAACTTATGAATATGATCCCTTGAAATTTTCAGGACTTTTCGATGGAATTGCGAGCAACATTTTCTGAAAAATTTGAAGAAAAATATTCATAAGTTGACCAGGAAATGTGTATTTTATCAAGGGGAATCTGGTAACGTCTGAAGGCTCATACGGCGTTCTTCCTCAGCACGGCAAAATAAGACGCATAAGTGCAGTTTTTGCTATTTCGAGAAATCCGTGTTTGAAGTTTCGGAAGGATCCTTGTGGCGGAAAGGAAGTTCAAACTGACTTTTTGAAGGTTAAAAATTGGAATTTGGGGGCGAATATTTCATAGATTATGCATTAAGACTAGTTTTACTTGAAATCATTGATAACTTAATTTTTTTTTAAAAAAAACTGCACTGATGCGCCTTATCTTCTAAGCCCCTCAAATGTAGTAATGTTTTTTTCTTTGAGAAACGACGTCCTTCGTGAACGGTGATTTGAAGAATTGTTGAGAAGTGTAAGAAATATAATTGGAACTTGGGGGCGAATTTTTCCCAGATTTTTGGCATTAAGACTAGTTTTACTTTAAATCATTGATATCTTAATTTTTTAAAAAAACTGCACTAATGCGCCTTCTCTTCTAAGCCCCTCAAATGTGGTAACGCTTTTTCCTTTGAGAAACGACGATCTTCGTGAACGGTGATTCGAAAAATTTGTGAGAAGTGTGTAAGAAATACAACAACCCTAGTATATAGAAGAAGCAATACATTAAAAAATGCTGCATTAAAATTCGAGCCATGCACCGATGAGTTTTAGTTACTAAAGTTTGAGTCGTTTGAATTTTAAATTATTCAAGTATAAGTTGATTCAGACAAATAAAAATCACCAGTCCCTCTCCAATGATCGTGAATTGAAAAAGGATTCGGCAACTACTCTGACTCTCCACCCAAAATTTTACGACCACACCAGCTGATCTAACCTAAAAACCGTTCCGTACTCTAACCTGTAAAATCGAAATTCGCGCTTGACATGGTTCTCGTCCAAATCACCATGTAAACAAAACAAACAACTAACCTCCACCTCCAAGCGTCATATTGAGTTTTTTTTTTTTATTTTATTTTATACATTTCCATTTTTGTACCGTTCATCCACTAAAATCACAGTGCAATTCCTCTCCGAGCGATACTTGGATCGCCCAGCACCCATGACACCCCCAATCCAGGATCCAGGTTGAAAAGCCGCGAGGTAGAGATGTGCACCGACATCGCACCGTCCAACGCCTCAGCATCCATCAGCGACGTCTCGAGCGACCGCAGTGGAGCCTCGGGGAGCAACCAGAGTCGCACCTCTTCCGGCAGCAACTACAGTCGCAGCAACCGAAGTTGCAGCAACCAAAGTCACAGCAACCGAAGTCGCTTTTCCTCCGACAACGCTGGCGTCTTCCACGAAGACTACCAACGCCTTTGCCAACGGCACAAGCGACAACCGCTCAACTTCTTCAAGCTGGACCCTCGGAACGACAAGTACAAGCTGCGACTCTGCGCGGACAAGATCGTTTTCATGGACTGGGAGCTGGTGATCGGTGCGCTGCGACACGATACCACCCTCTCGTTCGTTGGCGTGTCGAATCGTCGCGTCGGAATACTCAACTTCGGAGGTTTTGACAGTGTCGACACGCGGGAGAAAGCGCGGAAGTTCGACCGTCTGCCCGTGATCCTTACGCGGTTTATGATGCTCAAGTTTGTCGGTGCCGTCGCTCAGGTGTGATGCCACTAGTATAGTTTTCAATTGGATCGGCTCGTGCGAAAACGTCCTTTGTGCAATACAGGGTTTCATGATTGCTGCCCCACGACACCAATGAACAAGATCGATTTCTTTCCTAAACATTTAGTTGAATCGTGTCGTGCGAAAAACCGCTAATGTCCACTTTTCCAGCTTTCAGTTTTTTATGTTGATAATATTTTTCAAGGGTTGATATAATCATGAAAGTGGTGCTAATAATGTTTTTGGATTAAGATGTTAATCTTCTAGGGTAAGATACCCCAAAGCGAGTATTAACACCGCTTTCATGGTTCCTTGTCATTCTGAAAGTGTTAATCAACCCAAAAAAACTCAGACTGAAAAAATGGACACAGCGGTTTTCGCACGACACGATTCAAGTATGCTAACGGGATTTCTTAATAAAATTGTTCTACATTCCAAACGTCTTAAGCCATCTTTTATCCGTAAGTTACAACGAAATCGTCCACTCAAATTCTGAAACACTGTATTAGACATCGGACGTTTTCGCAAGAGAAGATTCAATTAGAGTACCATATTGAATGTTAGTAGACTCTTCTTCTGATTCGTAGATCGAATCAAATGAGACACCTTTTTGAGACAATTAAAATACTTTCAAGTCATTTTAGAGTCAATTAGGGGGTGACGTCACCTGACCGTTTCGCGGTCCAACCCTCAGAGCGCTCCAGGCCGCAGGTGTTACGCGTTTCTTTCATGATTTTATACCACAGTAAGCATGTCATTTCTCACACGAAGAAAAGTAACTCTATTCAAAGGTAGGAAAATTGACTTCAATATTACGACCATGGCATGTTCGTATTGTAAGTCTGACCCTGGCTTGTTGAATTTAAAATCAAAGAAATCGAAACACAGTCAAATTTGACCCGAAAATAAGGTTACAGTTGACTTGGTCTTAATTCCCATATGAGATTCTAAGACTGATGTCGTGATAATCGTGTCCTACGTGAAATTTCGAAGAGAAATCTTGTTACAGAATACTTGTATTTGTGTCTTGTTTATTGGTCCATTATTTTGCTCTCTGTGCTTGTCATTTTGCTCAGTACTTCTGCAAGTGCGAACTAAGTGTCCTGACTGGATATTGTGATTTATTCCAGTGTCTGAGCAAGTCAGGGGCATTGTGCGAGCTGCGCTTGGAAGGGCTGCCGCTGCGGGCTGACTACGTGGGGCTCCTGTGCAAGGGACTGCACCGAAACTCGAGTCTATCGCGGCTGGCGCTTCCGCACTGCACTCTGGGCGACGAGGGCTGCGAGGAGCTGTGCAGGGCGCTCAAACACCTGCCCAACGTCAAAGTGCTCGACCTTACGGCGTGCGGCTTGAGTTCCTGTGCCAGCGTCGTCCAACTCATCAAGTTCCAGCAGCTCTGGCGCACCGGCCAGTGCTGGGAGCAAGGTGATGATAATTATCAATAATCAGAAATATTCAATAATGGAGATGTTGCATGTGTGAGGAATTTGCGATTTGACCATTGATTCTTATGTAAAAGATCGCGAGAAGCACGATGGTGCCAGTGGTTTTCTCTGAAATCAACCTCCAAGCTCAAAAAAAGCTCTCAAGTTAAGGTCAAAATGAAGGGGATATCCCACGCTATCCTGAGAGTCCACCTCTATATCAAGACAAACTCTCCATGCAAAAATAGGGAGAAAATACACTGACCAGAGACAAGAAATCCTCCACTAGTATCTTGGCAATGGTGGAAGTTTTTACTTTCGGGACTTCAACATTCAGCTGTTGACCTACCTACTTGGCTGATGGTTAACAATGCGTTGGCGGTTTCGTTTCGCAAACTAACCGAAGTTTG